GTTTCCTCACGTCAAAATAATAAAGACAAAAGATAAGAAACTACAGTGAAAAGATAAGACAATAAGGAACTACATGCTATTAATTGTGGTATAATCAAGGAAGCAGTGATGTAAACTGGAAAATGGATGATTGAGAGACTCCATTGACTAATGGCTATACATATACATATGGCCATGGCAAATGTGGCATATTTGATAACTACATTTTAAAGGGCATCGTTTTATAGAATGGTATTTTCAGGAATGAATAAATCTTGACATTAAATAAAAAATAATAAAAAAGTCACAGGCTTTCAAAATTGTTTTCATTTAACTTTGATAATTATCACAGATATATGTGCCATAATATACATATACACAGAAGATTTTTCTATATAAAAAGTAAAATTTTATCATAAAAAAGTACTGGATTTTTTTTTTACTGCATTCTTTTTTTTTTTTTCAAAATAAGGGAAATCTACCTACACCTTGACCCATGTCTTGTGTTCGGCTACAATAAAATACCTGAGGATGAGGGCTGAAGAGACATCTCAGGGGTGCAGAGCACTCTCTTCTTTTCTGGAGAACAAGGATGTGCTGCCCAACACCCACATAGTGGCTGTAACCAGCTGTACCACCAGTTCCAAGAGATCCAATGAAGTACAAATTTAATCTTTATCAATAGAAAATCAGGAGTCAGATATCAGGGTAAATATCTGAAAGAACAAAGAAGCAGGGGAGCAGCCACAGTTGCTAACTACCTCTCTGTTCCTCCCACCAAAAGGGCTGTGACCCTCTCTCAGCCTCGCCTTACCACTTCCTCTCTCCTCTCACTATAGTCCTCCAAACCTCTATGATCAGCTAGTGGGTGGCCTCGCCCTCTGACTCCAAGCAAGCTTTATTTGTCAGAAAACAACCAAAATATCACACAACAGTCTAAAGCCCTTCACAGGCACCAGGCACATACATGGAAGGGGAAGGAAAAGAAGTGGGGAGGGAGGGGAAGGGGGGAGAGGGAAGGGGAAGTGAAAAACAGAAGAACCAGACAGAAACCCAAATCTCCACGAAGCATCTGTTAGAAGGGCTTCACTCAGGCTCTTCTAGGGTGGCTCTAATTTCTCAGCCCTTCATAAAGTCCGTGTGTGCTAATACTCATGGTGACCATTAAGGCTCAGCACTCCAAGGGGACAAATTCAAACAACTACTGTCTGCTACAGCAATGAATAGTAACGTTTTACGTTTCTTATGTAAACTGTTTAGGAATATGCATCTTTTTGTTCTCCACTGTATACTCAGGTTTCTGTTCATCTACCTCTAACCCTATTCCTAGCCAATTAAGGACAAATCTTCCCTACTACTGATAACTTGCAGTATTTCAATGAAGCAAAAGGTTCATAAATATTGCAGAAAGAAGAAAAAGGATTTGTGTAAAAATTCATCAACATCCCGGTATACACCAGATTTCAGGATGTGCATTATTATTGGAGGCCCTTTTTTTTAATTGGGATAATTCAAGCTTCCAAATGCCTTCATACTTGAAAATTTTTCCTACAACACCTTTGTCAGACAGTGCATAATTCTTCACTGTGGTCTTTCAAAGTTCTCCTTCTGTGAAAAACAGGACAAAAGCCTTAGTGATAGCACACACTGACTTCATGGATCCATTATATTAGACATGTATTCAATTTTTCCTTAACTTTGTTTCTCTGGCAACATAAGAACATCCTCTGTCACTTTTCTTTGCATGCTTCGAACTGTGAACTATACCCTGCATATATATATATATATATATATATATATATATATATATATATATATATACATACATACATACATACATACATACATATACATATATATATAGTGCATTTACTGTTGCATGAATATTTTTCATAGTTTTGGTGTTCCACCAATCACCAAGAGGCAAAATTTTAGAGTTTATTTTTCATTCCTCAAGGTTGACTCTGTTGTTTTGAGTACACATAGGCTGTCAGACTGAAGTAATTAAACTTCTCTTCCTTGTGTTTATAATCAGCATCTGTCATTTTTTACAAACATTTTCACATGATAATGTGCAGCACTGTCAGACTGGGCATAGTACCAGTGACAGAAGGTAACATTTCTTGAATCATCAGAACTCAGTAAGAAACATGGCAAGCAGTGAGTTTTTTTTTTATACTGGAAATCTCCTGTGCCATTTTTATGTAATTCATATATTCACTAATAATAATTATGTACTTATTTCAAACATAATTATCATTCATATTTCATATAGTTGTGAATATGAACTTTATATATACACATATATACACATGTATGGATGTATATTGTGTGTATACATAATACATATCATGCGTCATAAAGGAAACATGAACCACAGCAATTGTTTAAGTTAGGTTTAATAAACTATTTCTTTAAGACTATAGAAAGTAAATATTTTTATTTTTCTGAACCTATCAGAAAATTGAACATGTAGTTGTTATTTATATGATAAAAGAAAATACTACATTAAAATGTTAAAATGTATTTACATTATGTTATATATTAGATTTAGGTCATTCATTACATTTTGCCAGGTTTCCTGATTTGGAGTTTGACAAAATAGAAGGATTTGGGAAGGTTAATTATTTTAATCACTTGCATCATTAAAAATCATCAATATGATGGATTTTTAAAATATAGGCACACTTCAGTTAGTATTTTTATATAATTCATTAATAAAGCATCTCCCCATATTATTGTTAATAAATACCCTAACACTCATTTTACTGCCATTGGATTTGAACAGAATATAAATCAGATGATATAGTATTCTGAGACACAGAATACTGCATAGAGTACAGTCATACTCATCACTTCCGTATATTGGTGATGCTATATATTTTCTAGTTTTCATTATAAATAAATAAATATATATAGTGAATTATAAGTCACAGATTTCAAAGAAATTTATGAAGATCAGATTTGCAATTATGTCTCTTTTTATTTTCCTCTCAGCCAAAATTCTGAACATTTAACAAGTAAACAACCTTCCTTGTGTCTTTCCAGTACACCTTATTTTAAATATTTTATTATAAAATTCATCAAGTGATAACTTTCTTATTTTTTGCTAATTATTTTCTTGCTGTGAAATATTCATGAGTAAAAACTTATTATAAATTGTGCAATATTCACAATATGATATGAAGTGAAAAAAATACACAATTTCTAAGTCCTTTTTAGCTCAGAGATTCCATGATATTTCCATATAATAACATTAGTTGACAAGATATAGAGCCAATTATCAGTATAGTGTTTGGCTACAAAGACTTTCTGTCATAAAAGAGATACAAAATACATAATAAACATAAATGTCAGAGTATATCAGTGAAAATCAATGATCTTCAAAGTAAATGAACTGATTTACTCTGTAAAGTAGCATCTGACCACAAGAGTTTTAGTAGCAGACCTTTGGTGGGTGGCCCAAGCTGTCATTTTCTCTTAGAATCTTTTTTAGCCTATAAAGATCCATAATTCCACAATGTCCAAGAATTTTTATCATTATGGATAAGGACTTTAGATTTTACTAATAATTTAGAAGATGGTGTGATTATGTTCAACTGATGTCTAAAGAGAAGCTTCCTATATGAAACCCAGATTTGACACTGTCCAATGAAGATGATCAAGTGCTTCCAAGAAAAAGGAGGTCATGAATTGTTTCTAGAATAGAGACATATAAATACATCCACTGTTCCTCAAATTACTTATGGTCTAAGGAAAAAGAGATTAGAATTTTAAGTTACCTCAAAAACATCTCATGATTTTTAGCATGTTGAAGTTTTAAACTATGATTCAACATAATATAAAGCATAATTCTAAGTGCCTAGAGTGGTTTTTAAAATATAGCAGAAATTAAGAATATAAAATATCAAGCCGGGCGGTGGTGGCGCACGCCTTTAATCCAGCACTCGGGAGGCAGAGCCAGGCGGATCTCTGTGAGTTCGAGGCCAGCCTGGTCTACCAAGTGAGTTCCAGGAAAGGCGCAAAGCTACACAGAGAGACCCTGTCTCGAAAAACCAAAAAAAAAAAAAAAAAAAAAAAAAAAAAAAAAAGAATATAAAATATCAATCTCTGATGCTTTTGCATGACCTGCATGGCATATCTGTTGACCTATACCTTATGGAAATGAAAATTCAGAGAGCAAGATCCATTTGTCCTTATTGTCCTTATTGTACAACAGTCACACCAAGTAGTTGCAACAGAGACCTTATGATCCAAAATAGCCAAAATATTTACTGCCTGGCCTTTTACAGACAAAAAGGTTACTAACCCTTAGCCTAACTAACAAATCTAACTTAAGAATAAATGCTTAATGATGAGAAAAGTGAAAGTGTAAAGAATTACATTCTGTGACATATACTCATCATAAATATAATAAGTCTGTAGCATATGAATAAAATGTAAAAGTGATATTTGTGACCTGGTGTCCTTTGATCTAAATTCTGATTTGTCTGCCTTTCTCTATTCTTCATTCCAATCCAGTACATACTATTCTAAGAAACAGCTTTCCCACCAATGTCTCAAACCCAACTCTCTATCCTAAATTCTTGGCGTCTTGGTAAAATTTGTTATGATACAGTTTCAAAGTTTTCCATTCCCTACAACATTGGGAATTTCCTAAATCTGAAGCTCCCTTTGTGGTGAATCATAGTAATAATAAGCTGTGAATAATTTGTTTGCTGTAGTATAGCAATGTGGTAGCCAGGGTCTAAACTGTTCCAACCAGTTGAGAAAATATAACCCAAATCTGAGAGTACCCAGAGGGATAGATACACTAGCTGCAGCTGTCTTCAAAACAATTGAGAGATATAATTTTGGTTTTATAAGGTAAGTAAATATGACTAATACAACTTAGTCCATTGCGTAAGATCCTACTTTACGCTCCCAAGCACTCTCCAGGGGTGCCTAGAGGTGGAGTCCTGCCAGACTCGTAGGACATTAAGAAACTTTACTCATAACTTATTTGCTATCCTCATATGCTCTGGCTTCCACCAAAAGCCTTTGCCACTAGTTGAGAATTCAGATGGGATTTCTTCTGTCCATGTGTGGGACTGGATTTGGCACAGGAACTGAAGGAGCTAGGTTAAGAGGCAGATGTGGCTCCCTAACTTGGGATTCTATGGCTGGAATATGGTAAGTAACTGGAAAGCAGGGGCCACTAAAGTAATGCCAAAACAATCAATTCCTTACTCAATGCCCTAAGTGTATTGGGTCCAGTAAATCACAAGCATCACCAAAAAGACTCCAAGAGAGAATGTGACCTGTTTGACAGAGTATGGGTGGGTGTCATACTCATATCTAGCCTAATCAAGCACTAAGAGCTATCATTATCTATTGAAAGTATAACAAAACTGTTACCACTAAAGCGAACTGTGATTTCATAAGGACCTACAGTCATCTCTCTGTGTTTACCAGGGCATCACAATTTAAGCCATGAATGAAATTACAGTGGGATTTAATAACCACATGCTCTTCTATATAAGTTTTAGACTATGTTCACTTATTCCACTTTCTTTCTTATTTGATACCTGGTTTGAACTATCTTCAAAGAAGAGCTAGGAAGCCTTACCACGAAAACTGGTACAATATGATGCATAATCCTTTTAATATCCATTTAAGCACACTACATGTATATATCCTTTAGATATAATTTTATAGCTTAAAATTACACTGTAAAATATTTCAGTAATATATTCTGTCAGTATTACATTTTATATGATCATTCAAAGGGTACACAGTAATCTAGAACATTTGTTACTCATGTTTTCCAAGATTTGCTGTATCAACACTATTATGAAAACAATCAATCATTATTGCTTTAGGTTAAATATCTAAGAATATGAATTTTTCTTTTATGGTTCATGTGGAGTATTCCTTATGTTTAGACATAATAATCTAGTAAATCATACTGCACAATTATCTCTTAGTAAGATTGTGCCATTCTTTACAGAGCACATCCATGAAAAGCAGACGTTGGAAGGTACAGACAACCACCATTACCATGGCCTTGTACTAAAATAACGCACCCAAGTCAAATTTTCTCTGGCTTAAAATGGTGAGATCTACTTTCAACCAGAGGAAAACCCATTGCAATGCAATACTAGACAAAATATCTCCGGTGTCCACTTGACACAGACTGAGAGCAGGAGGGAGGGTGACGGAAGGAGACAGCCTTCAGCTTCCCTCCTCGCATTTGCTTGGTCAGTCTCCCCTACTTCCTTATATATTTCCTGCAAAGATCACCTTGGCCAGTGTCCTGGGTTCCTCCCATTGCTCATGGAGACCTGAACCCTAAGTGGAGTCTGCATTTTTCATCTGTCCATGGCCTTTTAAAACCCAACTGGAGTCCGAATAGAAACAGACATAAGGTATTTGTTTCGTCTTTTTGCAATCCTGGAGACAGACCCTGTGATCTCAAACATGTCCAGCAAGCACTGGCACACTGAGTAGTAGACCCAGCCATTGTTTACTTTGAGACATGGTCTCACTAAAATGCTTTGTCAGGCCTTGAACTTGCAGTGCTCTTGCTTCAGTAGCTGGGATTAAAAGCCTGTGCCACCAGGCTCAGACCTAAGCCACTATCTCGACCTTGGAGGTAACTGGTGTGTGTTTCTTCTTTGGCTAGGGCTAAGTGTGAGAGGGTGTATTAACTGACTTAAAAGTCTCTTCCCTTTACAGTTTGAATTTCTGTGATTGTTTCAAAAAGGAATGAGAAAAAACTCAAAGCATACAGCACATTGCATTGTGGGGAGCCATGTGGCCTAATTTCAGATCAGCATATGAGTGTTTGTCCAACAGGTCTCCATGAGGCAAAACCCGTGGTAATGGACTCTCACTCAGCAATACTATGCAGGACCCTTTTGAAAGACAAGAGAACAGTTCGAGAAATACAAGCTAACTATATGCAAGCAGTTTATGGCAAATAATTTCTATTTATGTAAATATATGATGTGTTAAGTTTTGAACAATGTTGCATTCTTGAAAGTGTGTGTCTATGCTTATTACCTTTTAGCTTTGTAAAGATGCCTGGCTTGAAATTTAGCCAAACTAGAAAAATACTGAACAGTTGCTTTTGGTTTAAAAGTTGTTTTGGTGCAAAGGTTGGGAAAAAACATATTTGACATATTTGTTTTTACCAGAGGTTAATGGCCGAGAGTGGGCGAAACATGCTTATTTTTGAAGTATAAATAAATATGACTTGAGATATCCAGGGCAGGTCACTTGTATGAAATTCATCTGGTGGTTGGACAATTCTTCTTCTGCCCATGTCCCTTCCCAGTTGCAGGACCTGAACCTAGGCAGTGGTAGGATCACAGCATTGCATTGTCCCACAAACTATCTGAATTATTTTCTCTTGTATCAGATCTTCTAGTAAAATTAGAAATGATTAAAACTCTAGCATGCAAACTTAAGCTTCATAAAAGCTGAAGACTGAATTTCCTCCACAATCAAACACAGCTAAATAATATGAACTGAAATCATAAACCTTTGAAAAGATAATTCACTTAGGTTTTCTGAGTTCTTCCACATTATTTCTGCTACCTTCAAAAGCTTTAAAATATGACAAATTAATACTGCATAGTATACCAGTTAAGTAACTACGAAAATTTTCAAAGTCAAAATTAACGAATGTTACATACAGAGGTAAAGATGTTGTACATAAAGACATGCTGGGTAGAGTTTTTTTTCTTTTATTTTTTGAGATTATGATATAATTACATCATTCTCTCCTTTGTTTTCCTCTCTCCTAGCCCTGCCATTTGCCCCTCACTGCTCTCTTTCAAATTCATTTTCTATTTTCATCAATTGTTGTTACAAGTACATATGTATGTACATGCATCTCTAAATACAACCTGCCCAGTTCATATGATATTACATGCATATATGTTTTAATTTCATTTTAATTCAATTTTAGATTAATACTACATTAAAAAGGCACTTAAGTTACTTACATTTTAGTTTTGTGTTATAAAATATGAGACAATGCTTTTTTCTCTTTTATCTTCTTTCAACTGAATATAGATTCTTTTTTAATTTTATTCTCATTCAATATATCCTGATTACAGATTCTCCTCACTCTACCTTTCTCAATTCCTCCCTACCTCTCCTTACCTCCAGATCCACTTCCTTTCTGCCTCACATTAGAAAAGAATAGGCTTATAAGAGGTAAAGAAACATGACAAAATAAAATATAGTAAGATAAAGCAGACACTATCATATTAAAGTTGGATGCCGTAAACCAACAGAAGGAAGAGTCCCAAGAGCAGGCAAAAGAGTCAGCAACCCACTCATTCTCACAGTCAGGCATCCCATAACAATACTGAGCTAATAGCTATTGTATATATTCAGAGGACCTGGTACCGACCTGGGCAGGCCCTGTGCTTGCTGCTGCAGTCTCTATGAGCTCGTATGTGCCTTGCTTAGTTGATTAAGAAGGCTTTGTTCTCCTGGTGTCCTCCATCCCCTCTGGCTCTTACAACCTTTCCCCTGCTCTTCCTTGGTATTTATAGGTTTGCGAAGATGAAATGGAATGAGGTTAAAGCACTTTGAAAGTAAATACTACACAAGCAACTAAGAATTCAGGATGTGTAGTCTTTTGAGAAACAAAAGCTATGTTTTCTCAAAAATAAAAATCCAAATTCTGAATGAATTTCGACTGAGGATCTTACAACAAATCCCCACTCCAATTAATACAACCATAATGAATAGATAAAACAAAGACTAAATGACTTGAAAAAACTTATCACTTAAGAATTTATTCTTAACACATCTTTATTCCATTTAAAAGCTTCCCCTGAAAATTTGGTTAATTAATACCAAAGATAAAAAACAAAAATGGAAATCTCATAGAATGACTAAAAAATCATTGAAAGATTTAAATGTGCAAATGAACAGTTATGGAGTTTATAGCTACAAAATAATAAATTCTAGGAATCTTGACAAGTTTAACTGTCAACATAAATTAGAAAACTAAGGGAAAGAGGTCACAGACATGTATTAATTTTGTGAGTGAATCAATAAATAGCTAAATATGCTTGTTTATAAGATATAAAATTTCTGCTCTTAGGTATGCATGTAGCAAAGAAAGTGGCAGGTCTATTACTACATTCATACATACAAATAAATCAAAATTACTCTTGATATTTTTCAATAAATACCATTGAGTTTTTCTCATATCATAAGTATTCTTACAAAATAAGAGCTATTTTCTGAGAACCTATTAGTTCAATGTTTCCTTAAAATTTACTTTATTTTTTCCTGCAAAACAAAATTTTAAATGTTTATTGGAAAATATCAACTTTAAATGTGCTTTACATCTATAGAGATGATAATATATTTAACCACCTTCTCTAGTAAATTTCTTTTCTTAGGTCCAGGTCTACCTAGATGTAGAAATATAATCGTGTGGCTGATGAGCTATAAACGGAAAACTGCTAGAGACAAGAATTCCCCAGGAAACTTTTGTGCTCTGGAGGACAAAATACAAGCCCATTGCAGGATCCCATTTTCATTTGCTTCATACTTAGAATGTAGACATCTGGATCTAACGCAGCCATTTTGCCACCATGGGATCCAAATTGGGCATGGTGAAAATAACACAACAAACCAATATGGATCATTGGATTCTATCACTGAGTTTCAACACTTTGCCTAAGGGGAGAACTTATCTCTACCATTGTTGGTTTACAGCTGAACCACTGTTGATTTAATACTAGGTAACTTGTTACTAAAAGTGTTCGTACTTTACACATTATCTGGACACGTAGAACAAGAAATGTGCACACAGAAACTGATGTGCATGAGATGCCATTAATTATTTATTGTATCTGGGTAGTGAAATTCTGAGTGTATTTTTCTGTTTTTGTACTTTGGAATATTGCTTGATTTTTTCATAACTAGAATACATTAGGCTTTCAAAGAAAAGGATGATAGATAATTCTTCTAAAATTTTAAGTGGCTTTGATGTTGGATAAAAGCATTAATTCAGAACACAAAGATTTATTCTAAATGTTTGGTGGAAGATGATTTGAGAGTCAATCTTGTAAACGTTATTTTGTTGTGAGAAAATTCCAAGACAGTTTGGGGCTGCAAAGATTTGCTCATGCTTAGTCTGATTTACTGAGTGAAATAACTGTTGTGTTAGTTTTTCAATGAACATTGTTGTTTCTTCACATATAGTACCTATCATTTTCAATTTTAATTTGTTATTGTGATAATATAGCATAGTATTTCATTCATTTTTATACCTTATGTTAGACAATTAATAATTTAATCACAGATATGAACATGTTTATGTGTTTTATATGGGTTAATATGCTGAAATATATTCATGGCATAATACCCCAGACAAATTTTGCTTTATTCAAAAATACTTTAATAGTGTAATAAGTGAGCATCTATTTAAATAATAACTGACTATGTATTACTTATCACAGTTACATAGATATGCATTTCCTAATCTACAGTATAACTTTTCATATGTCAATATATTACTTTTTATAATTCAATAGAGTTGTCACTCTTCATTATAATAAATCACGAAGGCCTTCTACGATATGCCATAATACATTAAACTGAGTATTTTTAGAGTCATAATTCAATTAACCTTAGACACTTGAACAGTTCATGTTGTTTTTTGGTTGGTTAATGTTTTTACCCTATAATTAAATTTATTATATGCTACTCCATATTTCAACAGTTTAAAACTATCATGTAAAGCAGATTGTAAAGGAGCAGTAGCTTGCAAAGTGTAACAATGCAAAGACATGTGCTTTGAGTGAAAGGGTTTGTATTCTCTGAGTATCCACTAGCACATCAGTCAGTTAGATCCGTGCTTATGTTCTGTTTCAGGAATTAAGTGAAGCATGGAAGATTTGTTTTATTAGTGTTCTTGCTCAATTGTAGTTACTCCCAAACTAAACAGATATCTTAAACTACTTAAAATATGTGAGGTTTTTCTTTATTTATTTCTCCTAACATGCTGTCTCATGAGATTCTTGATCTGTTTTTTTTCTCATTTTTCTTCCCTTGTTTCAAAGATGTTTCATAGAATTCCTTCCAAAACAAGATAAATGATAATGAAAAAATGTCAGTAGGATTATAGAAGTAAAGGAAGCCTCTGCTGGATAGCACACATCTGGTTCAGCAGTGATCTTTTTGAAGAGAAGACCTGGAGTCTAGACATTACTGTAAGTCCTTCCTTGTTTCTGTGTCTAGAAAGAACAAAGTAATAGAAACAAAGAGTAAGTAAGATGGAACAATTATTCTGAACACATGAAGTAAGAGAGATGACATTTCCCTGAATGAAAAACAAGGCAGAGTAACATATTTTTTCTCATTGAACATTGTGAAGAGTTCATTTTTAAAACAACAATCTGAAGATCAGAATGTGATATATTTATTACCGGATGTATGTACCTAGTTAGATTATGTAAAGTAAAGGGTAATAGATTTTGGAGCAAATGCATGATTATACAGTATCCTTGGTTGAGCAGCCAAGCAAAGTACAAAAGAAACCAATTATACCCCATGTTGTGAAATTGCTTTAAATTTCCACTCTGAATCCCTGTTGGTTAAACTCTTGATTAACTGCTCAAAATATGTTATTACAAGACTGAGAGAGCTCCTGGGGTCATTAAATCCCTGCGGCATACCTTTGTAGGCAAAATACCATGTATCTGCTGAGGGCAGAAGTTTAGTGAGGAGAATGAAGGAGAGCTCTGCATCACCATGCTGGGCTGTGTGCCTCTGTGCCATTCCACTGCAAATGTTTCCAGGAAACATCAAGTAAGCACTGAAGATTAGTTATTAAATAAATGAAAGGGAAAGACAACTTCTAAATCGCTAGAATGCTCAGGAATAAAGACTCAATGAGGTCATGAATGTAAATCAGGGAGATGAGCTCGGGAACTATCCAAGGTACTAACCAGTCCCTGTTTAAAACCTGCTCTTCTGATTGTTCTTTCTTGGGTCAGAGGAAAAGAACTAGTAGAGAAGGAGGAGAGACGTTCTTCTGACTTTTTAATGAAACTTCAGGGTAAAATGTTTCTGAAAGAAGCATAGATTACAGGTAGGCCTACATAATCATTTCAGCTTCATCAGATTCCAATGCAACAAAGCAAGCTTGAAGGGTATGAAATTCACAAAATCTATTTTTTACCGATTTTCTGACAGCCACCTGCATTGTGTGCAGCTCCGTCAATCTTACTGTGTTCAAAATACCATACCTTAAGAACAATGAAATTTACACACACCAAAAAAAGCCCCTGTGACTATTTATTTCCAATTAAAAAGTTTCTTATTCTGTGTAATGAGCCCCCAACTAAAATTGCATGGGGTGACTAGTATAAAACTAGGCATGCTGAATAGAGAATAAACCTATATGATTAGTGTGGTGGCCAGGATGGTCTCTTCATTTTGTTTCCCTGTGAGTTTGGGGCTTATGAGAGATTTTTATAAGCCACATGCACAATTACTCCTCTCCTGATCACCACATTTCTCTTTTCTGTAGGATGCCATCCAAAACAGACCCTAAACTCACTTACAATGATCAAATCAAAGAACTCAATGGCAAATAAATATATTGAAGTTAAGTTGATTTTGCGGTCTTCTATATGCCATATGCTTTCTTTTTTTTTTTTTTTTTTTTTTTTGGTTTTTCGAGACAGGGTTTCTCTGTGTAGCTTTGAGCCTTTCCTGGGACTCACTTGGTAGCCCAGGCTGGCCTCGAACTCACAGCGATCCACCTGGCTCTGCCTCCCGAGTGCTGGGATTAAAGGCGTGCGCCACCACCGCCCGGCTTGCCATATGCTTTCTTATTAATGATGTTTAATTATGTAGATTCAGAATAAATGAGCTAACAAATTCTCCTTACATGTAAATTAATTGTATAATGGTGACAATTTGATTTTAGCAGCATTGAAAGAGAATTTAAGCTTTCAAATGTGAGTTTTAGTTATTTGGACTAGTTATAGGAGCCAATCAGAAGGCAGTATGGATTTCTAAGTTGTAATCAAAGCCATTCAGAATAATTTAAAATGAGTTTATTCAAATAGAAACATAGTAAAGTTATAACACAATGCCTTAGACCACATTGTTATGTTCATTATCTGTGTTTCATCTGCTTATTAATATAATTAATACAAAAAGAAATAGCCCCTTTAATAGATGTCTTTAGAATTATGCTCTACTCCTTGGATTCATGGTTATTTTAGAGTTACAGCCTCTTAAAATCCCAGGTACAGCTGTATACTCTTCAAAGCAATAAGGAAAATTAATTTGATTTCCAAATATTATGAATCTGAATATCAAATCAGTTGTATAAGATGAATTTGATTTAAAATCAGCCTAAGCATGTGAATTGCTTTCTTTCATAAAGAAAAATCTTAGAAGGATTCAATTTTAGATGTTTGAGGATGTGTGTGTCTCAAAATTCAGAAATAAATAAAAACACACATATTTACTGAAACCACACTTTAACCTCTCATCTAGTTCTGTGTAATTTTACTCAGCAATTATACTCTATTTCCCATACTGTGAGAATAAGTGTCTCTTGTTAAAATGAACAGCTTATTGTAGCTTAATTTAATTAGCCATTTAAATTAGTTGGCCAACTCCAATATCATGCTATCTGACTAATATGACTTCCTGAGTAGCCTTCTCTTTTTTATTGTGTTAAAACTGTACCTTGTGGATGTTAGGCAGGCACTCTACCATGGAACTGGATCTTCAGCCTACAAATAAAATTTCAGAAGAGAGAATCCATGCAGCATAGCCAGCCTATGTCAGCTGGTTCAGAGTCGTCAGTCTCAAGAATGGCCTTTGCTTGGGAAGCAGACAGAGCTGCAGATAGAACAGAGCCTCTGTCCTGTGGAAACAGACAGAACACACGGTAAATACATTTTTGTGTTTTGATTAATTTCCAAATTTTAAGATACACATGTCCTCAGAATATCTCAAGTAATAGTTTTGTAATTTTTTAAAATCAGCTTTGACAGCCCAGCTGCAGAAGCCATGCCAACCCCTCCTGACCTCACTGGTTGTAAATGAGTCACTAAAGTAAACCCAGATACTTTTTTTTCTGTTTTTCTCCATAGTATTTATTTTTTTATTATTTAATTATTTATTATGTGCCTTACAGCCCTAAAATATAAGCTCTTATGTGATCAGGAATTTTGTGTTATTCTTCATCCATTGACACGTTCTCAGCACTAAGCATTACCCTGACACATATTGGCACAAATTTCTTTCCCATATGGGTTAATGAATATGCATGTTTTCATATTTCCAATAAAAAGCACAATGAAACCAGAGTTGTCATAAAACACAGAGATGCTGAATGTGCAAAAGCAAAAAAAAATCATACTCAAAATCTGTGAACATAGTATATTATCTAAGATATGCAATCTATTATTCCTGGTACAAAATGCATCCCATGCTTCTGCACTTGATAAACTTTAAGTGTCTTAACTCTCTCAAACCATTCATATTTAGGAGGCCAATGCCTTATCCATTAGGCAACTGGGGCTCTCATTCATATTTAATATGGTAAACATATTAACATCTCCTTGAAATTCAAAACCAAACTTTACTCATTCCATTCACTTTCCCCAACTTAATGACAAAGTAATTGTCAGCCCTCCTATGAAGCTAGTTTTCCCAAAACAAATCTGTGGTCAGCTCTCTCATCTTACTGTAGACTCAGTTTCTTAGTATGTAAGTGCTCCAAGTTTACAGAGAAGAATGCCTACTCTCTGGTCAGATCACAACATGGCAAGAGGAAACTATGAGCATCAATCAAGTTGCTGAAATCACACAAAAGGAGTTACTGGAAAGATGAAAGCTGAAATTTGTTCCTCTTCTGTTATGAAATGTTTCTTTCACAATACCACTTGCCTCTCGGATTCACAGATTCAGCCCTACCTCACACTCATCCTGTACAGATGGCTCTTCTCTTAAAAACCCCTGAGAGATACAATTTGTAATCTCTCTCAGTAGCCTGCCCAATTATTTATCAAGTAAAATTCAGACTGCAATGCAGTGTAATTCCATTCCACGGGGAGAGCACTTTCTTTGTCTAGTTTTAAATGTTCTATTAAAAAAATAATAATTTATGATAAATTCACAAGTACAATTTGCACTTGTGTCTTGGCCAGTAGGATGGTGGGGCTTGGAGCATGCACTCAGTCCTTGGATCCAGGCCCCAGTTTAATGACAGTCTGAGTCCTCACACTCAGGCCTCGCCCAGCTAGGCTGCCAAGTGTTTGTCATAGTCATGCACATCAGTCAGTCAGTCACAGGAACGGAATGTGAAATGGTTCCGAGTGCAGCAGACCCTAAGGCAAAGGGTATTCAGCTCAAAAATGCAGAGTCCTGAAAATGTAATCTCTACATGATCCGGTGAAACAATAAAGCCTGGACATCATCTGATCATGAAATCATCAAATTCTGCTTTTACATTTCCTCAAAGATTTTGATAAATCCATTTGCGTTCAGCTCTAATGACATTTATAAAGCATTTTCTGTAGGTGAGGAGTCATCCAGTTGTTCTATTGTGTGATATAGGAAGCATAAGCAGAGGCTTGGGGAGCTGACAGTTTGAAGATGAGTAGGGATAAATATGTTTGACCTAAGTTAAACATATAGAATGTGCACATATATCAAATCATTACATGACAGTACACTACTATGTACAATTGTGTGTTTCATATGCTAGTTGTAAAATAAGTTTAATTAAGTTTGGTTTCAACCCTTCACAAAGCAAAATGATGTTTTATGCACCTCACCCATAGTGTGTAAGAATTTGCAAATTTCTTCACAAAGTTGAAATTCTCACATCTGAGATGGAAAGGGAGGTACAGCCTCACTCAGTTTCATGGAAGTTAAATAAAAGCACTTCCTGGAAAAAAATCACTATGCATGGTGGAAAATGCAGTAAGTTTTCAATAAATATTCTATACTGTCTCATATAAAAATTAAAATTTTAAATTCAGTAGGTAACTTAGTAATCGAAAAAAGTCTGACTTACTTATTTACCATAAAGATCTCCATACTGCTACAAAAGACAGCAACTCATTCTTGTATGAGGCTGAGCAGTACTCCATTGCACATACATACCAAATTTTTATGTACTTGTCAGTTAATAGACACAGGTTGCTTCCAATTTTGTCTGTTATGATAGTGTCTGGCATCACGATTTCATATTCTTCAATAATACAGCTAATAAAGGCATATTACTGCTTCACAAACCAGTTCCAAATTAGCCAGGTACAGAAAAACAAGTACCACATTACCTCACTCATTTACAGAATCTAACAAGTCTGGCCCCATGGAAGCTGAGAGTACAGTTGTGGTTATGAGTCTGTGGAGGGGGGTTGATGGAAAGATTTCATCAATGGACTAAGTTGCAGTTAGACAGGAGTAAGAAGTTCAGGTGTGCTGTCACGTAGTAACTGAGATGATAATATATTTAACCTGAGGCAAAAGTTATGTCATATGTGGACATGTAACCAAGCTTCCTTCTAAATATTTATGTTTATTCCACAAATTAGTGGTGTGGCTCTCAACCTTCATCACAGAAGCTGCTTTTTCAGTGTGGGGGGGGCATTAATGCAGAGACCCACGAGTGGGTAAAGTATGGAGAACAAGAGACCGTTGAATGTTTAGCCCTTCATGAAACATCTAAACGACCCAATGGCTAAAAAACCAGCCAGGAAGAAGTGATGGAACATTGCAGTAGCCGGAGGATGGGTATGATGAAATGTCACTTTCAGGATAAGACATTGTCACTGCAATCATGAAAACAGTAAGTGCAGTGCTCTGCACATGACTACACAAAAAGAGGCATGAAGGTAAGAGGGGGCTGTCTGGAAACACCTAGAAATGGGAGGAGTCAGGAGTAAGGTGAGTGAAAGGACTACGGGGAGTAAATAAGTCAAAATACATTGTATACATGCATGAGATTATCCAAAAAAGAGACACATTATATAATGAATGCAGGAACCAGCCAATAAATACATACATGCACAGACAAGTAGATATTGCCGAATCAGTTGACTGAGTTTTAAAGTTACTCTCCAGTTGTGGTGTGATTTTGTTTCCCTTATTCACCATTAACACTTTAGCCTCTCAAGCACAGGCTTAAGATTCATCACCTAAGGAATGAGAAACTATCTCCTAAATAAAAGTAGACTCCAGAGCTAGCTAAATTCCATCCCTAAAACCGAGCATTTGTTTGCTTTCGTCAGGCCATTTTGCTCTCCTTTTGAGATGGGTTTCATTTCAGTCTTTTTGGCTAAAGACTGAGGTTTAGTTTTAAGTTCCTTAAGTTAGTATTTAGGAGCATACTACTATGCTTTCACAAGTATGTTACATACATCTAAGTAGCCATTAACCTGGATTGGGTCTTCCATCTACAGATATCATCGTGGATCAGTCTGAGGCTTCTCTGTGACGGTAAGTGTTACATTTTTGTTTTTCACTCCCTTCTTTCTGTGCCAGTCCCAATCACCTAGAACTACTTGTTTCTGTGTTTCTGATATTTCACTGTTGGTGTTCAAGAAGTCACTGGCTATGCCCATACAAAAATGATGTTGCCAATAGGCAACTGAATAACAATGTGTTCATTTACATTATGTTCAACATCTGTAACCTAAAAGCATAGAGAGTTCTCTAAGCAAAATGGCATTTAGGCTCAGCAAAGACTATAGAATGCAGACAATGGTTGTGGTTTTATATTTCAACTCATTTTTCCATAAACACATCTAAGCATTACAAGGCTCAACTTGAAGCTCACTTGTGCCTCAGACTATAGAACCACTTTATATCTAGTGTCAATCAAATCTGTAAGCTGTTTGCATGTACAGAAATAAAACACATTTCAACACCTAAAGTATGCTTCTTGACATGTCAAAATAAAATTAATCACCAGAACAATTTAATCTGAAAGTAAATGAAGGTAGTTATAACCCAATTTTAAGAGAGCAAATTTTGAAAACACATATTCAAGTTGGTGGAACACTTAGTCTATACTCAAGGAAATAGATGGAAACACTTTCAGTCTTTAAATTATTCTATTGAAATAAAGCTGGACATCAGCAGTAACTGGACTATTTCAGAAAATTAATAGTTTTGTTTTATAGTTGCCTGAATTCAACTCCTCTTATGCTATGAATACATTGACTACTATTGGCCTGATATTTTCCACTACACCATGATCCAGCTGACCTAACCAGCCCAGGGCAGTGATTGTCAAATACACTTACTATGAAAGTGTGGAAAATATTGTTCTGAGGTGAGATGGGTGTGGTTATCTTTTTTGAAAACAGATTCTTCTCTTGTAGACTATATCTCAACTACAGTTTCCCCTCCCTCCACTCCTCCTAGCTCTCCCCACCTTTCTTCTCCCCTAGATCCATTCCCCAACTAAAATTTATAAGACAGCTTCTAAGCAAAGCTTAGAGGTCCAAAAGCAACAAAATCTCAAGGCTCAGCATTGTCTTTGTTGATTATTAACCCAAATTATGACTATTAGGAATAACCAAATGAAAACCGTGTTGCAGAGACCAGTGGGGGAAATGCTTTTCAACAGAGAGTGACTGGTTTTCTGTTGACTATTCCCAGCAAGTGCAGGGAAATGGAGATAGAGAAGTAGCTTTGGATTTGACAATATGGAAAGCAGGTGTTTGTAAAGTAACTCTTCTAGAGAGGAATGGAGATGCACACCAAACCTCTGTAAAGTGGACACTGGATATGTAAGGAAGTCCTGAGGAAATGGAATCTTTGCTCTTTGTTTTACTCTACTAAGGAAAAGGTTGAAATGTGATGGAATATGGCAGCAGGCTGGACAGAGGAGGCCCTTGGCTTTTACTGGTGCGTACTGAGTTTTATTTGCATCATTCAAAGAAGAGTCATACAAGAAGAGAAAAGAGAATCAGTGTAAACTTGTGAAAGGTTCATTAGTGGGATCTGTTTTTCACATGAAGACCATACGCAGTAGGAACAAAGCAAAAAGAACAGAAATGAATGAACAGAAATGAAAGCAGCACTTTTCATTCTTTGGTGAAGGAATTTCCTGCTGCTCTGTGGATTCTGAGGTTTTCTTTCATAGTCTACCCATTTATTACCTTGCTCCAGAAACAGTTCTTCTGTTAGTGGGGAACATCGTCCCTGTGCATCCCTCTCTTTGTGGAAGTAGCCTTATCAATTTTTTTAATCTACTTGTCCTAAATCTAGCTGTCAAGGTCAGCGCCAAATGCTCAGACTTGAGTCATCCATCAACTGTAAGCCCCTTTCTGCTAAAATGCAGCTCAAAACTCTTTGACTTACTTTGAGTGTCTGTCTTTTATTTACTTAAAGGGCATCTGCCTTTGGAATCTGCCTTAGCCCTTGGTCTCTATATCTGTACTGAAAACACGGCCTCTCTACTGTGTGGGTACCACTGTGTGAGCGGCCCCTCCCTAAGAACCACCATGAATGACGTCACAGGGCCTCCTAACCAGGTGTTTTAAACACAAAGATGGGAGGAAACTTTGCAAAGTCACTCAACTGTACAGATTTAGAAGCATAATCAAATTGAAAAATGCAATAAAAGTAATTATGGAGAAACTAATTAGGGATTTGACATAAAATTCTAACACATGGTCCTGCAATGCAGAAATGAGTCTATCCTGTGCATGTGTATTAGACTGGGCATGTGAGAGGTGACCCAACATTTACAGATTTATAGATTTTTTTTTAATTTTCAAAATAATTATTAGCAAATTGCCCACATCTGGCCTTGCAGAAAGTGGTCCTGATGATCTTCAGAAGCAATCACCATAATATGATATAGTAAATGTGTATGTCATATCAAGCTAATCCATTGGTGAAAATACATAATTTTTGATAAACTGTTCTTTCTCAAACCAGAGATTATATATATACATATATACTTTTCATTATATATTATATATTATTTTTAGAACTTCCTCAATTCCATAGAGTTCTTAATAAAATCACACACATATATTCATAAAATTTAAATATTTACAATCCTACCTCATACTTCAGTCTGAAAGCAACAGAAAGGGTCCACACTTATGTAAGTCAGTATGTTCTGTAAAGAGAGCATTGGTTAATCTGAGGATGCTTGATTCAATGAAGGTATTTAAATCAGCTTCTGTTGTCATTTATCCTTCCAAAGATATATGGCTTATCTAGCCCCATGACAGCAATGTTAATACAAGGCTAGTATTGAATCTATTTGCAGGACATGTTTGTATAGACATTTGATTCAAATCTTAAATCATATAGCACTGGTCTAAAATCAAAATCACAATGTCTTTGTGGCTTAATTGTAAAATCTTTAACCTCCACTTTTATAATGTATAAATAAAAGAAGATCAGCCATTTTCCCACCAAGAATGAAGAGATTAGGAGTATGTGTCATTCATGAGTAGCCCAGTTACTGGTATATACTAGATTATCAGTAAATGTTGGTTCCTTTCCTCCCATCCAAATTAGGAAAGCAGAGACCAAGATGATTCAGAGAAGCAGACAGCATCCCACAAACAATTCCTTGAAGTAAAAAGGTCCAAATCAGGCTCCTTTTCTTCACTCACATAACAGCCAATCCGTTGAAATATAAAAGGTCTATTCAACTAATGCGTTCTGTTTCTAAATATTAGCAGGGTTGGTTGCATACAATAACAGATCCTTGTTAAAGACTTCACCCCACCCCAAAACCCCAGTTAGCCCTCCCGAAATAGAAACTATCTGGGGACCAGACAGGACAGACCAGTGCTTATCCACAGCCAGTAAGAGTTTAGGAGATTTATTAGAGATGATGTGTTAGTAGCGCCATCTATGTGTGAGAGAAGTATGTGCGCGTCTTGGTGACATTCCCCAGGTAAGTGTTCCTGTGTGGAAGATCAAAGAGACACAGTAAAAACACTACAGGGTCTGTATAGGAGCATGCAGGGAGACTGGCCAGCTTCTAACTTTAATTTCATAAACCAGTGGTTTTAATTTAGAGATGGGGACACTTAAACTGAACAGATGGGAGAAATTTTTGACAAGACCTATTACACTCTAACAGACATTTTAGTGAGGAGCACACTGTAGTTCAGGTATGCTGAGTGGCCAAAGGAGCTTAACCACGGCTTTTACCTTGACTTCATGCCCCTCCACTCCGTCCCTCAGCATCTGGCAATCACTAATGCTCCTTTTGATTCTATCAGTGTAGGTTTTACGGTGCCACACATCGGTGGAATCACACAGCATTTGTTGTGACTGACTAATCTCGCTCAGCATACTGTCCTTAAAGTCCATCCAAATTGATACATATTGTGCAATCCCTTACTGCCTGTGTGTGACTGTCTATGTGCCACACTTCATCCACTCTGCAGTGGACAGTTAAGTCTTTTCTGCACAGTGGCTGCTCTGGAAGAAGCTACAGGAACATACTAATTCTCTGCTTCTTCGAAATCCTGATTTCAGTTCTTTTGGAAAAATACACATGAATGAGGTGGCTGGATCACATCACGTTCCACATCTAGTTTTTTGATGGCTCTCCACACTGGTTGTCATCATGTCTATTGTTCATTTTCACTGTCAATGTGCTCTGGTTCCAGTTTTTGCACACCCTTAACTGCCACATCTTTGCACAGCCCCAGGGACTTGGACCTGACTGAGAATAATGAAGGAATGAAGAAATTACAAACAGGCATAGAAAAGCTGGGATAGAGTGGACTGTACTCTCCACTAGAGAAACCACAGCCCACTCCCCAAGGTCATTGCATTTATATAGAGAGTTGAACAGAGAGATGGGGTTATTGTATACATGTCAACAAGGAGGCAGGGGTTGTGGTATACAGTTGGATCAAAGAGACAGTTGTAGCTAATCTTGGTAGAAGCAGTCTCTATAGGGAGCAGTCTTTAGGTTGTAAATGTTGAGGGGAGTTATGGTGTACATTTCTCCATGCGCTATTCACTCTTATTCACCTAGGAAGAGTTTGCTGTCCCTATGAGCCTAACACTGGAAACTTTGCCATTTTCCCATTGGTCTAAGACTGTGGGGTACATGGCAGGGCCACGTCCATATCAACAGTACACATTCACTTGGGACCTCACTCTCTCTGAGCTATAACAAATGAACAAATTCATTGAAATTTTGAATTAGCTGAACTTGTCTTTTATTTAATAATTTTCAGGCATTTTTTTCTTCATAGCAATAATTACCATCAATGTATAACAATAAATACATCTACATTGAATATTATTATATTTTTATTTTTAAACATTAATATACCAGATGGAAACCACTGTTCCATTAAATCTAAGTCTAAAGTAGTGTCTAAGAATCCCTCCTTGGTCAATTGCAAAAAAGAAGAAGCCACTGAGGAGAGACAAGACTTCACATCCAACTTGCTGACATAGTAAGCTCCTGGCTGTACTGTGAATCAATGTCCCTTGACATTTACTTTGTTGTTGAAAAATATAATTGTGTTTCTTTAAATATTCTAACAAATAGTATTTTGTTCCTTTGAACAATACATGGGTCTCCCTTGACAAAATATTTTAGCTTACATTGAGAATAACTTTTCTCTAGCTATCTTGTTTACTTTAAAAAGGTAGAAGTTGAAAGATGTTGAGGTAGGAAACTAATAATTGCCAAGTTTCAACTCAGCAGTTAGTTCCACTCAATTAAATAATATATAAAATCCAATGACATTAAGGAATGACAGAGTCAAGATCTGTGTTCCAGTTAGCTCAGCTTCAGTACAATACACTTGCTCCATTAGCCTACGTAACACACATAAAGAAATCATATGAACCAGGCATGATATGGCTCATTAGTAATCCTGGCACTCGTGAGATGGAGATGAAGACCATGAGTTCAAGTCCAGCTTGAGTTACACAGCAATACTTTATGTCAACAAAGATTAAAGACAAAAGAAGAAAAAAAAGGATTAAAAAAAGATCAGTATGACAATACTGATCTTCAAAAATCCAAGCACAAAAGAATGAATTTTTGTTTCTTTCTTCTATAAAGCAGTCAAACATAAGGACAACTAACTGTGTTTGAAGCTAGGACCATGCTTATCTTAGGCGGTGCTGGTAATTGGAAAGGATCCAAGATACAGATTATGCTGTTTCCAAATCTACACGCTGATAATTCAGAACTGTTTATTTTGTGAAAAATCTTCAATTTATGCACTGATGGTTTCTATACTTTGATTTTGTTCTTATAAAAATATTCATTCTGAGATAAATGAGGCATATTAATTACATGGCATTTAGGCTTGGATTCATTTCATAAAATACTTCTTTTAGCTTTTTTAAAGTCTAACTAGTCTTGGACTTGAAAAGCTAAGTAGAATATCTTTCCAAATCAACTTTCATTTAAGACATCTGTAATTCTATTTCTGAGACCATCAAATCCTCAGAGGTCAGAGGTGAATATTTAAAAACAAAAAAGTATGAGCCATTTGTACACGGCCAGCCACATCACAGATGACTTGGATCAAGAATTGGCTTCTGTTACCAATGATGTGTTTTTGACTCTCATTGTATCAGGTTGTTTGGCAGGGTGCTGCCTGGAGAACACAGCACAGTCCTTATTTATACTCACCCACTTCATGTAGAAGTATAACTACAACAAAAGAAAGGAATTTGGACTATACATTTGGAGTCAAAAATATCCATGCTTCTTCCTTCTCCTTCAATTCAACAGCACTTTTATCTTACAGACTTTGACAGAGTGCAAACTTTGAGGTGGCAGACAACTTCTAATATCCAAACTGAAAACAGTATAGAAGAAAAGAAACAAAGGAAAAAAACAATGGAACAAGAGGGAAGTTGTGGCTTTAGAACTAAATATTAAAATTTCTTGATAAACTATTAGAATATTTTTATTTGGCCCATATTTAGAGATGATAGCTGAAAACTACTAAATTTACAATAGTTTAAATCAGAAAATACTATAAGGTGTTTTGTAATGTTAGCTTAGTATATAATTGTAAAAGGAAATGCAAAGTAGACAATGTTATCAAATCTCACCAAATTACTTACCTTGCATCCTATTGAGCAATTGCAGCTCATTTCCAAACTAGAGGAACAAAGAATGGCAAGGTAGACCAGACAACTGCCCACATCTAATCAATTGCACTTTCCCAAGCACAGAAATCCCAAGTTCTGGTCCTAGGAAACCCTGAGAGGTAGGCAAGGTGGATCGACAGAGCATTCTGCACAAAGGATCAACTTGAATAATGCTTTGAAATGGTATCTGTCTATCAGCCGTACAACAGCATCTTAAGCACCAGAAGTCAAGTACATGCCTAATTTAAGTCCCAGTAACTCTTTTGACAGATAGACCCTTCAGAGCCTCTCTTTGAACTGTGGCAAGGTTTTTGAGGAAGCTTACATATTATGCGATGTCTCAAAGTAGCAATCTGTGCAAACCAATGCTTCATAAACTAAGCAGAAAGGATATTTTATCTATATCCAAAATCATTTGTTAGTTCTCAGCAATGATGAGCTCGATTGGCATGGATTATAAAAGAAGCTAGATCTAATGTTGACTGTGGCAGTAGCAAAAGGCTTCTTTGGGGTGAGTAAACTCAAATTAAGCAGATTTGTACTACATTGTTGCATATACTTAATACAAATAGCTATTACAAGAAAAATCTTAAACCTTAAAATAAATATCTTGGCATCTAGGAAATTCATTACCATTTTTATTGACTTTTGAAAGACTGGAAATGTGGAAATGGCATCATTGGTCCCTAGAGTTCTTCAGTCACATTCAGGACATACAAGCGAACAGACTGAGCTTATCCAATTGCAAGAGTAAGTGTTCCAATAAAAAAGAATGGTCTTCAAGCCTTCCCTGAGGCCTAAGGTACCAAGTTTAGAGAAACTGGCTGAGAAGGGCCAAAGCAGCTAGACTTTGTAGATGTAGGAAGAAAAAGATGTGGTTCCATACATACTAAATATACTACCAAACTAGTGCAGTCCTCAAGGTAAATTTTGCTCCTCACTTAGTCATATGCAGGGTGGCTAAAATACAGAAACCATACATCACAGAACACATGGAAGCTACCTTTCTAGCATACT